CAAGATGTGGCTATGGAAACAAAAATGGCATTATAACATGTGGCTATTTGTTTGATAGCATTGTTATGGCATCAAATGAAAAAGAATTGTAGCAGATCTATATGAGTATGCACTGAATAATGCTGGAAACCGACTTGAACATAACTAATGAACCACAATGAATGTGTTCAATGTGGTATTTTAATGCTATTCAGGGTCTCCTAGACTTACTAGCCAACAGATGCTTGGCTCAAGGAACCAACGCATGGACGGCAACAGACCACACAGCTTACACCATGGAAACAGCAGGTAGTGAGGGTTTCCTAAACCTTCTGCCAATCTACCTGGATCATGTGCTGTATCCAACTATAACGGTAGGGATTTTAAGTTGTTCTGGTAGATTTATCTTCATGATAGACCGTTAAATATAATGTGGCATCATTAAACTGATGTCTAGGAGTTTCCCCGTAAGATTTTGGAGATTTAACCTGGAGATCCAGTACACTGATGATCAGCTCTACATGTTACCTGTACTACCAAAATATATTCATATAGGTTTGCTGTATACAGATGTCTGCAGAACTAATTTTCTTCTCACTTGGGAAGAATTAAGCATGTTAACAGAGACTTACTTCCTTTTTCTAAGGTCAGCTGGAAATGGTGTGCACAACTGTTTTTTTGCCATGTTCATCTTCTTTTGTAGGAATCAGCATACATAACAGAGGTTCACCATGTGAATGGAGAGGGTGAAGATGCAGGTGTGGTTTACTGTGAGATGCAAGGAAGGGAGAACATGGAGAGGAGTAGAACATATTTGAACTTCACTCGAGAAATGTACCCTGGACACTGTGGTTATAAGGTAACTGAGTTTGATCTGTACGTTTACAGCATGGATGTGGTTACCTTATTAGTTGAGATACGTACATGTACAAGTAGGGCAGGGTTGTCAAAACTTGCCGACTGCGATCTCTGCTGATATCTCCTGGGCTATTCCTCTGATTCTTTAGTAAGACATGATGGCAAAACTGTGCTACAGTATATCCCCCAACAATCAAGCCACCCACTTCAAAATTTTGTGACAACGTGAACCATGCAGGTGCTTAACATGCAAACTACTTATAATAATAAACAACTCTAAGCTTTGTTAAAATTGCTGTGTCAAATACATGTTTATAATGAACATTATTTTAGGATGAAAATGTAGATTCTTAACCAAAATGAACTTCACAAGGAGAATGAAACAACTACACTCTGCATCAGGCTTTCAGCAAGGATTTGAAAAGTGGGCATCAAAAATGTGCTAAAGGGTCTACTCTAAATGACCAGTAGTTGTTCATAAATTATCTATAAGACAACGTGTGAAAAAAAGGATTATTAAGCAATTTTCTTTAAAAAGTGGGTGTCCACAGAATGCCTGGACACCCATCTGGCTAAAAGCCTGCATTACAGGTAAAGTACATGTACTGTAGTATAAAAACATGTTGATTAACATGGTGTACAGCTTCACCATGGGTATATACATTGGACATATCTAGCAAATTTATGCCTGGTACCAGGCATAAATTTGTCAGACATGTAGTGACACAAAATTTTTATGTAAATAAAATCTGCAACTTCATGTTAAGCAAGTGGTACAGTATGCTTGATTTGTACAAAACAATAAAGTTGCAGAGTTGTTACAAGTTTGTCACATTCTATAACGTAGCTGAATCCTTTTTTCTGACTTCCCAAAGTCTGAGACTGGAGGAATCATGGAAAATTTACGTTCAACTTGCAGTCACACTAAGGTATGGCATTCATACAAAATATTGTGATACAAATGTACCTGAGGTATCTAATTAAACTTTGTTTTTATTTCCTTTGATGGCAACCTAAACATTAGTGCTTAGTGAAACATGGAAAGTTCATTTCAATGCAGTTGCTGACAAGAACTCATGTTAAAAAAAAAATCAAACTACTTTTTGTCTTTTTACCCTGAGACATCCACTGACAATAAAGGTATTGATAGCCTGTACATGTAAGTAAATCCCAGCTATTGGCTTCCGGTTTTTTTCTTGTTTTGTATCATTGAAAGAACTAAAATAGAGTGGTTTTCAATTGAGTATCATAAAACCAAAATTAAACTTGTCTAGTCACTCTGGCATTCGTGAAAGACACAGACAATCTAGCAAACCTTCATGTATTGATCAAAGCTCAACAGTGCAAATTCAGGTACATGTAGCTGATGCAAATCGTGGGAAAACATGTGAGAGCAGGCCATAATTGGGTTTTGTTTTACTTCTACTAGGATGACAGAGTGACACAAGTTTTTTATTAAGCAAATCGTATAGCATATTAATGCAGCGCCAAAACAGATGCAAATTACTTGTAATAAATTTGAACCTTCAGAACTAAGTGAAAATTGTTCTATAAAATGCACCATTTGCACCCCTTGTAGATTGACCTATCAGAAGTTATTGACTGACATGTGTATTGTGCAATATTCTCTAGGTGTGCAACTACCATCAACAGTTTTATCGACCAGAAAACCTCTGTGTGATCATTACTGGACAGATTGATCCCAAGCAAGTGTTTGAAACTGTGAAGCCCTTTGAGGATAAAATTCTTTCCAAGGCAAGCAAACTGTTTCAATTCAGTGTTATTTTTAATTACTTGTTCAGCTCAGGGGTCTTCAGTGAATGTATTTTGAAGTGACTATCTACCCTGGGGTCAAAGGATGTATTAGCAGTTTACTTGGCTGAAAAATAAATGTGTCTTACTTTGGCTTTAATAAAAAACATATTAAACTTACATGTGGCTGCTTGCCTTTTTTTGTACTTGTTCTGTCTGTGTTTCTTTATTATTCTTTGAATTTATGTCATGTTATATTATTCTATAACTATGTTTTCTTATCTTTTTTTTTACATCGTGCACTTTTTAACTAAGGTTTTTTTTAAACTAAATTTAGATCAGCTAAAACAATCACAAAGAAATACCTCAGATCGGTGCAAACATTAATTACAATTTATGTGTCTGAGTGTTTAAATAGAAAACAGGTATCATTATTAATAATTAATTGTAATATAATTATAAATTCTGTACAAATCTTGTATTTTGATCTAACATGTAGAAAAGACTACCTTCTTATGAAAGACCATGGCAAACTCCTGTTCCACCACTCACTAATGCTGTTGACAAAGTTATCAAATTCCCAACTGAAGATGAAGAATCTGGATCCATCCTGATGGGCTTCCGAGGACCCTCTTGTAGGGATCATTACAGTATTTCCACCCTATCTGTCATACTAGACTACCTTACAGACACATCTATAGCTCCTCTACAGCATGAACTGGTGGAAATTCCAGATCCATTTTGCAGTGACATTTCCTGCGACGTCATGGAATTCCTAGAAAGTGCTCTCGTCATCAAAGCTGAAAATGTTCCCTTTGAAAAGCTTTCTGCAGCAAAGGAAAAAGTAAAGGAGGTTTTGGGAAACCTGGCTAATGGTAAAGAAGCCATTGATATGAATCGCCTTGGTGTAGTAATTCATCGTAAAATCCTAGATTCAAAAAACAGATTTGAAAATTATCCGCATGACACCTTTGCCGATGCTATAGTGGGCGACTTCTTGTACTCGGCCAAGCCAGAGGATCTTCAAGCAAGACTGAGCACGATTCAAGATCTGGAAAAGCTTCGACATGAGCCAGTGAACTACTGGCTGGCTTTTCTGAAGAAGTACTTCATTTCAACGCCAAGTGTTGTGGTTAGTGATAAAAATAAAATTTTTAAAAAAGAACATGTGATCAAAAAGAAATTATCAAAGTTTCTTTTGATTGCATGTTCTTTTTTTAGCTGCTTGCTGTAAACTGTGAGATAATTAAATTCTGGATTGACTTGTTGATAGTTCACATAGTGATGTTTTTTTGTCTTTCTTGTTTACAGGTACGTATATTTAAACCAAAAAAGATATTGTCTGTATTTAAATATTGATTTTACAAAATATTAGTTTCCCCTGAGACCACTTACAATAATTGTGCATTTTTGCAAGTAAAACCCATAACATTGTAAATAACTAGGAATACCTACATGTATTTCTCAGGGCCATAAATATGTATACATGTAATAATTATGGCATGTTCATTCTGTCACTTGCCAGAAAATTAATGCGTTCTTCATAAATGTGTTTTAAATAATGGCTTCATGAATACAAGATGTGATTGATAACTGTTAATTAAAATGACTTGGTTGTCATAGATCACAGGGGAACCAAGTGCAAATCTGATGACAGAGATGTCAGAAACTGAAAAGAAGCGAGTAGCAGAACAGCGAGAATTGCTAGGCGAAGAGGGATTAAATAGCAAACGGCAGCGACTGGAAAAGGCAACAGAAGATAATGAGGTGATTATTAAATTAATAGGCTATTTTACAGTTAAGTGCTTGGTTACCTGGCCTATAACTGCAAGCGAGGCTGAAGGTGACCTTGCTTTGATACAGACCTCTATGTTTTTCTCATTTAAATGTCAACTAGTTAGCATAAAACCAACTTGATTTACACAACAAAAGCAGTGAGGTCTGTATCAAAACAAGGTCACCTGCAGCCTTGTTGCCATTCAAAGGCCAGGTTACTGAATGGACAACTGTAAAATAGCTTATTGTAAAAGTCATGGGCTTTTAGACAGTTCTAATCTGACAGCCACTGATTATTCATTTAATCTAATATCCTTGGCTACAAACCCAATTTCTGTGTTTTTTTTATTCTGATGTGAAAAAAAGGTCTTTGTTAATTAACATTTTACTAATGTTGTAATGATCAGGTAGCTCCACCACCAGAGATAGTCACCAGTCTCCCTGTGCCATCAACCTCCAGTATCAGTTTTCATCCAATCAAGATGTTCAGTAACAGGCGGCAAGATGGCTGCAGCCATACTGAACCTGAAGCAGAAAAGTTTCCTGTGGCAGAGATACCGTACTCATTCCAGCTAGACCATGTATCAACATTGTTTGCGAAAGTAAGTTAAAGTTGGTGTGCAATTTCAAGTACACACTGCAATTAAGAGTAACTTCAAGCAACTTTACAGGGTTGCCAAAAGTCAGAGGATATGGTCAGAGAAAAATAAACAAAATGTTCAAGGTCAGAAAGAAGTCAGATAATTTTATTTTGAGTCAGGGAAAATTGACATAATTTAGCACAGTTGATTTTTATACAGAGCATCTAAGAGTTAGTAAGTTAACCAAATGTCAGTGTTTTTGGTTCAAATACAGAGATGTGATACACTTTTGAAAAGCTGTGATTTACATGTAAGAAAACAGTGTATGGTTTGGAGGGACACCCAAACAAGTGTGTGCTTAAGACAGGTTTCTGCTTAATGGGAGCCCTCCATTAACGAATGTTCAACTGTAGTTGGTTGCATCCTATGTTTCTTTGTAGCTGTCTGTTATACTGGACACAGCGGCTGTACCAGAAGAACTCAAGCCTTATCTGAGCTTGTACCTTGAAGTGCTGTTTGAGTCTCCTATATTGAGAGACGGAGGTATGGCGAGGTGTACATAGTAACCCTTAGTAACCTGTAGCGCTTTGTGGATGGATCCCAAATAGATCGCAAACAGATTCCTTGTATTTGTAGCCAATGTGAAGCCCTGAAATGTCAGTCATCCCCCGCCCTCAGCCTAATGGCCAGGAGATTAGGCTGAGGGCAGGACATGACTGACATTTCAGGCTAGCCAGTGTGTAACTGCCCCTCGTACACCTACAGTACCGGTCAAAGGGATTGCAGCATTACACGCGCGTAAAGCGCGTGTACTACACGCATATTACACGCACTGTCCACGCACCTTACACGCAAATACATGAAAATGCGTGTAAATACATGCAGTAGATGTGATATTGCATGTAAAATTACTCGCAGTCGCTCAACTGGAACTCATTAAGTGCGGGTAGTGAGAACGAAATATTAAAAGTGCGTGAAATGAAAACAAAACATTTACCGAGTAACATTTACCGTACTGGACTGCACTGCGATACAGTTTAGTTTTTCGCCTTCTTGCTTCTGGTCATCAAACGTTTCCCGTAGAATCGACCAGTTTCCTTAAACCGACTTACCGCTTTCTCGCTTTCCAGTAAAAGTATTTTTTCCGTTGTAGTTTCAACAAGCGGCGCCAGCGACAGGCAGGCGTGCTAGGATTCACTGAGTTGACAGAACATAAACATATAATGTCGCTTTCAATTTTAAATTACAGCAATCAGTGTACTTTAAGTCAATTCGAAGATTCATTAGAAATACTTCGTACTCCGAAGCATTCGGAGTTTACCGGTGTTCAAAAGCTTTTCCCGTTGTGTTTTTTTCTTTCCGTGAGAAACAACAAGGGCGCCAGCGACTCCCGAATTGAGGCCTGACGGACAACAAATAACAGTAAAACACAATATTTCACCTGAGATTTTAAGTTAAACATCAGTTGTCCTTCTTTAAGTTTAAAGAGCCTTTGAAGATTCGTCGTTTAATATATAGTACTCAGAGGCAAAGAAACAACCGAGGGACCTTGGGGCGAGTGGTGGGGGTCGGAAATCGCCTTTATAACCGGGAAATCTGGAGTAAAATGATCGGTAAATCAATGCCTTCCGTAATCAACGTGCAATCCATTATGGTACTTTCCCAACACTTCTTGAAATTCGGCTCGCTATGTAAGCACTTTTAGTGTACATAAAACTTTTGTAGAAATGTTCAGTTTGGTAGAATTTAAGGATACCTGTATGTGAATTGCAGGTCTTATTCCGTATGAACAAGTGGTAGCAGAATTGGCAGCTGACACTCTTGATCAGGCGTCTTGTCTTGGACTCCGGGGAAGAAGATTTATGCCAGAAGAATTTCCGCAACTGGCCTGTGTTTCACTCAAGGTTGGCCTTTCATAAAACTTGTATACAGACTAGATCTTTCGATACCTTCTTGTGGTGTTGCGGTAATCAGTGACGTGAACCAAAAGATTGAAAAACATCCTACTCGCGAGCGCATTGATCGCGAGTTGAAAAAAGTGATCTTTCGCGGCCAAGTGACACTGATTTTTCATTCTAATTCGCCCGTGAAGTTTCA